AGAGAAGGCAGTTTGGGGCTAGTCATTGTGGAAAGAGAGCCAGAGGTAAGGCTAAATGGAGGATGGAGGAATTGGAGAGTCTCAAGAGGAGATTATATTAAACCCTGTACCACCATCAGAGCAAGCAGGATGAAGTCCTCCCTTCAGCCCTGATCTCTCTAAGTATACTCAGGTATTTACAGCTGCCATGAGCCTGACAGCCCTAGGGAAACTACAAAGAGGATAATAGAAACAGTGTAAATCTGAAAGTTAATTGTAGGTTACCCATTTGCTATCTTTCAACATGGATACATGGTCCCCTCTCCATAGTCCACAGCAGTTCACATGTTAACCCCCTTGTGACAGTCTCCATTGTGACCTTCTCAGTTTATGATGTATGCACTAAACAGGAGGACCTATAAATCACAGCTGGCTGTGGGAGTCTTGCTTCTGTGCACAGCACATGCCCTCGGGCTGATGACCAGTGGGTTCCTATAAGAATGGTAATAGTGTTGGGCTGGGGATTTAGCTCAGTGGTTCCACCACCTGCCTGGCAAGTGGAAGATCCCAAGTTTGATCCCCAGTACCAAAAAAAAAAATTAAGAATGGTAATAGTGTTACATTTCTCTCCAGCCTAGTAATCCTGGAGAATGAACCCAGAAGCAGAAAATAGTTAACAAATTTCACTGCAAATTCTAGATAAAACTGGTGATCTTGTTGTCTCCAAGACTCCATTCCACTCCCCTCCCCTCCCTTCTCCCTTTCTCTTCTCTTTTCCTTCCCTTTCTTTTTTGTGGGGCTGGGAATCAAACCCAGGGCCTATGCTTGCCAACCAACTGCTATACCAATGAGCTACATACACTCCCAGCCCCTAGGATAGTTTTCTGTATCATCATGTGCATTAGAGGAGGGGGGACCAAGAGGGAATGGAGGAATTGGAAGTGCCAAGCTCAACAGCCTGTGATCTTACCTTGGCCATTTGTGTTAGAATATACCAGTACTGGAAAGAAGAAAGGATGGAGCCAGGCAGGGGGAAACAAGTATTTTCCTTTGCTATAAGCAGGCAATAGCCATCTCTAAAGGTTTTTCCCTGAAAAATTTGAAATCCTTGAAGGAAGTGTTTTAGTAAAATATATTTACATATAAAACCCTACTGGAAGGGGTATGTATGTGCATGTGCGTGCCTGCGTGCATGTGTGTGTGTAGTGTGTGTGTGTGTGTGTGTGTGTGTGTAGATGAGAAATACCAAACAGCAGCAGAAGGCTTACTCTTAATGGGATTTTGTAGCAGCATGTGCGAGTTTGTTTCAGAAGTCAAAAATGAACAGATGTTGGTATAAATTACCTCTGTGTCTGATGTCTTGCAAATTAAAAGCACGGTTGGCATCACTAAACAATTTTACTAGGTTTAGGGGGGTGCAGTTTGCAGGCGGTGATTACTGTAGCAGATCGGTAAGAATCTTCACACTGCAGCAGAGCAGGAAAGCAAAGAAAAATAAGGGCTCTATGAATTCATCAGAAATGCTAACATCTCTGATGACAAGTGAACAGGAGGGCACGTGCTCTGGTACAGCCCCTGACCCACAGCAATTTCTCTGTGCACAAAAAGGGGTTGGTGCTTAGGACCTGATTTATAGGGCACAGCCCTCTTTTAGGGAGCGTCTGTGTCACACATTCGTATATCTCCTATATGGGACTGGCAAGCACGGAAACTTTCTCCCCTCCCATGGAGGAGATGATGTCTTTTGAATTACTTCTACTTTTATGGTGGTTTCCTGCAGCTCTGTATACTTGGATTAGGTTGAAGGGGGAGGAATGATTGAGTGGAAAAGGGGCTGTTAAAAAGGATTGGTTAAATTCAAGGAGAGCTTGCCACCAGGAGACTTCAGAATCTCCATTTATTTTCCCTTTTAAACCCTTTGAGCCTTCAAATAGTTGAGTCTTTTTAAATTTTAAATCTTACACTATTCTAAGTCATTCTCCCATTTGGTGGAAAAAACAGCAAGGTGGAAGGTCTGAAGGACAACAGCAGAAATCTCAGGTGTTGTCAGTGCGGTGCTCCAGGCCCATGGTTGGGGAACGAGGCTCTCTTCTGCCTGGCAGAGCTCTGTGTTACCCATGTCTGGTTTCTAGAGCACCTCTAGCCATGTTGCAAGGTCATTTGATACTGAAAATGTTGAAGTCCTTAGCACAGGAGCATAGGTACGTAATCCATCCTGCAGGAATAAATGATGAGACCTGTTGGGCCCAAAATATATTCCTGGCTGGGGATTTAGCTCAGTGAATGCATGCCTGCCTCACAAGCGCAAGGTCCTGAGTTCGATCCCTGGTACTCCCCCCCCAAAAAAATATATATGTATAGGATTGGGCTGAGGAGAAACATTCCTGGGATTGGGTTTTTGTTTATTTGTAGTACTGGGGATTGAACCCAAGGCCTTCACACTGAGCTACATCTCCAGCCCTTTTTTATTTTTATCTTGAGATGGTCTCACTAAGTTGCCCAGGCTGGTTGTGCACTTGTGATCCTCCGGCTTCAGAGTACTAGGGTTACAGGCGCCACCGTGCTTAGCTAGGAATGGGGTTTTGAGGTTACCTGTCTTATTATAATCATTGATTCATTCACTCAGAAACTACTGAGTATAAAAAAACATACATACGTACCTCTGAAAAGGGTTCTAGTAATGATTGCTACTATACCAAGTATGTTCATTGTTAATATCAAAAAGAAAAGTAGGACAAGTGGCATTAACATTGTACCCATTTTACAGATGAAGAAGGTGAGGCTCAGAGATACTGTCCAGCCCAAGGTGTCACCCGGCTAGTAAATACTACAGCTGGAACTGAGTTCACACACTGTACTGTGTACTTGGAAGAAGCCTACACTGCCTCCTATGGGCAAGAAAGTACTTGATTGGATTTTCTCTAAAATACTGTAGTTGGTTCTTTTAAAAAAATTTTTTCATTTTGTTTAATTTTTTTTTGAGACAGGATCTCACTGTGTAGCCTAGGCTGGCCTCAAACTCATGGCAATTCTCCTGACTCAGCCTCCTGAGTGCTGGGATTACAGGTGTGTGCCTGGCTGTAGTTTGTTCTTGATCCCTGATCTCTTCATTAATTTGGTATTATTTCCATCAAGGAAAATTATTTTTCCTGCCAGATAATCAAGGCACATTTAAAAAGAGCCACATATATATTGTAGAGAAAGGAGCCCTGAGGGCCACTAACTACTCTTGTTTATAAAGGAAGGAAACTAACATTTGTTTTGTTGGACTTTGTTCTTTTGTATATGACCACTCATCCAACTAGCATTTATTAAGCAGATACAGCTGTAGCACTAGCCAATCTCTACACTCAGTTCTTACATTTTAGTGAAGGAAGACAAGCTTGTAAATAAGTAATTTAAGTAATTACCTGCAAGACTTACAGGAATTGTGAGTGTTTGGTATAAATTTGGTATAAATTCGCCAAGGAAGGAATGACCAATTTGATTGGGGCCAGGATGGGATTGTGGATACATGAGGCAAGACCCACCACTGGGACTTCCACTCCTAACTAATGAAATTTCCTTTTGCTGACTGTTGTTCAGAAACTAGTGAGAGCTGGAGGTATATAGGCTAGTTACCAGAAGCCTCCCTGTAGTGATGGACTTTGTGTTGTCTTATTTCTTCACTGTGCAAATAAACAAGAAACTGTTAAACTTAGGTTGGGACAGAGGAAAAGTGAAAGTCTTTTCATGTAGCACTATTTGTGTGGACTTGTGTGAGGCAGCAAGAAGCGAGGCAAAGCCTTTCCCATTCCTGTGAGTGCCTCTCTAACACCTCTCTTCTTTGCCCAGAATAGAGACACATCCTGCCCTGAAGTACTGCGTGGTTCCAGACTTCTGGGTGCTCGGGCCAGCCATCAGAAACTTTCAGAACTGTTAAATAGGGTTATCTGAAAAGATGACCTTGGGGGATGAGAGTGAAGGGGATGTTACATTGTATATGCTCATTGAGGATTTGCTTGACACAGCTAAAACGGCTTCTGGAGTGGCTCTTCTTTTTTTGTTTAATTTTATTGGTACATTTTAGGTATACAATAAAATGACATTCATCATTGGAAATTTGCACCTTTGCATAATCTCTCTTGGTTCTTATTTTTTCCCCCTTCCCCTGCCCTCCCTTCAACCCCCTCCATCCCTTCCTATTTGCAAAGACTTTGTTTCCATTTTTTCATTTTCTCATATTAATTCCATTCCCTTCTTTCCTTTTCCCTACCCCTCCCACTTCCCCTTCACCTTTGCTGGAGTGGCTCTTGTAATTGAGAAACGTTTTGCTTTCATTTTGGAGCCTTATATGTCAGAAAGTAGCTGTATAAACCCACAGGCAACTACAGCATTCAAAGATTGATGGTGCTGAAAGTCGGAGAAAGACACATAAACCTTGCCTGGCTATATTAAATACCTAAGGACTGACAATGCCAAGAGAGAGAAGACCAAAGCTCTATAAACCCTACTTTATTACACCGTCCACAGATGAACTGCACTGAGGGAATGTAAACCTTGTTATATTATAGCATGCAGGGACTACCACCACTGAGAGACAGGGTAAATGATCTCTGATTTTGATTTGAGATTATAAATGTCCAGAGACCAACAACCCAGAAAAGACTCTTATCTTGGTTGGGTTTTAGCTTCCAAGAGCAAACCCCATGAGATAGTAACATGAACATTAGGTTAGATTCTTCAGAGGAGGATTTGGAGGGAATTCCCTGGTAATTTTTTTTTTAAAGTTGGATGATAAAGTCTTCCCCAATTGGCCTGTATCTTATAGCGGTTGCTAACTTCAGAATAGCTTTATCAAGTTTTAGTTGTCAGTGGTAGTTTACTTCCCCCTTTTAGGAGGTTAGTGGTGATCAGAACTGTAGTGGCAGCAACTTGGTATACAATTTGAATCAATCTGCATTTTTTGAATGAAAACTTCCTGCAGTCCTTTTTTTCACATTTCAGGTTTTCACTATCTTTTATTTGCTTTGTAATTCCAGCCAGAGAGATGACACGAGGGAAATTTCTCAACATTCTAGAGAAGCCCAAGAAGTAGCAGCTGCTTGTGCACAGGGACTGTAACCAAGCTCCCTCCCCAGTGCAGTTCTGACAATGCGCACCTCATGCTTCCTTGGGAGAGGCCAGATCTCTACCTGCAGGACTGCCCCTCCCCGCTCCTGGCACTCTGCACCTCTGAGGACATTTGGTGGCAAGAGAAGAATCTGCTCTACCCAAGGATCATTGCCATTATTAAGTCAATGTCTTAGCCCTGGATATTGGTAACACCAGAGGTCCTGTTGTTCTTAAAGGTCAAAGTTGTGCTTTCTCGTTTCCAAGTGATTCGGGAGCCCCGGGATCTTATAGTTGATTTGATACTGTGATGGCAAAGTCAATTGTGACATGTTGACTGGATGGGTTCTTTTGAGTTGTACTTGATCTCTTAGGAAGTATTTATGACCCGAGAAGATAAAAGACCTACTGATTCTGGACCAGACCATGCATCCTGACCTGTGAACTCTCCAGTCTGTACTAAGTTTCAAGATTCTCCAGCTGGAGAAACCAGAATCTTCTCAAAATACCTGCTTTTAAAATCCTACCCTTCTCATGACAGTCCCACCCTCAATGCCATTCATTTCTCTACCTCCCAGCCCACCTTCCAGGTCTGACTCCAAGCCAAGAGATCCCCCAGTAGCTTGAAGAACAAAAGGCCCATGCTGATTGCATTGAATTGTCTGTTATAGATTTAAGTGAAAGTCAGTATGGCCTGACGGGAAAAGAGCATGGTTTGTGGAAGTTCCCATTTGAATGAAAACTAGAATCCCTAATTAACCTAGTGTGTGCTGTGGGATGGAGACAATGTTCTGTTCCCCTTGTCCCCATTGCAGCATGTGTGAGATCCTTAACCCATATGGCGGAAACACACACGCACGTGCATGTATGCAAAAGAGAAAGAGAATTTCCTGACCTACATAAACTTTTTATGGAGTTCTTCCCAGTTATGTGTCCGTTAAAACCCGAAAAGCTAGGGCTGGGAATTTAGCTCATTGGCACCATGCCTACCTCACAAGCGCAAGGTCCTGAGTTTGATCCCCAGTACCAAAAAACAAAACTGAAAAGCTCACCCATGGGTAAAATCAGTAATATATGTTCTCTCATATTTTGAGAAGTACATAAAGTTTCGTATCCCTGTGGGGATAGTGCAGTGATGGTGGGATACAGGAAATTTGTAGCCAATTTGTGGTCTCGAGTGTCTGCTAAGGTACCACACTCTAGTTTAACCACTGATTCTTTGACCATTTTCTGACATTTGTGCATGTTTCCCATACTAGAGCTAATTTTTGGTTCTTCTCTTATTTGGGCCTTCTGACCATCTACACAATTTCACTTTTTGAAAGAAAAAAAAAAGCACAGAACACAATGGATGATTGTGAGAAGGAAAATACTCTGGCTGGCGTGCTCCCTGAAAGTGTCAGGTTTAGAGTCTTTAATTAAGCTTATGATTGACATTTCTTGATCTCTCTAAATGCAGTCAAAGAGTATGTGTGTGTGCATGTGTGGAGATGGCCAAAATTAGTGCCATATCGAATTTTTCTTCCCTCTATCTTTGAGAGTTGATGCTGTCAGGCACTTTGAAGTGTTTGGGGAATTGAGAAGTATAACAGCGAATACTGGGATACCTCCCCCAAGCCAGTCAAGTCTGTAACCGGAAGCCAAGAGTTGGTTCTCTAATCTGCTTTGGGCTCCTCCTTTTACTGTCTGTCATCGTATTCACCAGCACTTAATGTAAGTAGGTGTTTTAGAATTTCAATATTTATTGGTTTTGTATTTGTTGTCCTTAGAAATGTTAATGATGTATTTTTATATTGATAATATAAATTTATGTACAGTGTGTATGTGTATGTATTTTAGGCTATTAGAGGATTGTACCTTGTATATTATGTCCTCATAATAAATACGTCCCTTTTATAGGGGGGTTTTTCCTCAAAGGGCCACGTTGTATTATTTAAAACACATACCTCATTAGAAAATACAACTCAAGTGATAAATAACATACTGCCTTCCCCCTTAACATCATAGTGGTCATTTGCTTGGTCTCCCAGCTTCCAGTCTGGCCTTCTAGACATCCTGCTCCTTCCTCCTCAGCTCCTTCTGGGAACATTTAGGAACCTTTGATACCTCGCTATGACTACAGATAAAGTGTAGGTCTCTCCTTCAGGCATTTTAGGACTCTCCATGAAGTCCTGCTTGATCCTCCAGTTTGGTTTCCTTCCTTTCCCCTATATGAAGTTTCTTTTTTTTTTGGTACCGGGGGATCGAATTCAGGACCTTGCGCTTGCAAGGCAGGCGCTGGAACCACTGAGCTAAATCCCCAGCCCCTATATGAAGTTTCTTTTCCAGTTACTCTGAACAATTCCCAGTTCTTCACTTGAGGGCCTTTGCCCAGGCCATTGAGTTCCTAGAAAGTCTTGCTTCCCTTTTGCACCCATCCAGCCTGTTCTTCCTGTAAACCCGTGTTGACCCTGCTGGAGATGATCCTTCCCCGAGCGCTCTCACAGACTTTAAATGTACCATCCCTGTGCTCTCACCATGCGACACAGTAAGTTAAGGTGAGCTGGTCTGTACCTCAAATATCCTAGCAAAACATAAGCTCCTCAAGGTTGTGGCCGTCTCCTGCACATCCAGTTAGTTCTTCAGTGTCATCTTTGACTGGGGGTTCAGAAGCTATCTGTGTACAGATTTGCAGTTAAACACAATAGATTGCAAACACATTTTCCCTGCCCCCTCTAAAACCCTTTGTGTGAGTTCCTTTTCATTCGGTTGTAGACCTACAAGAGAAGGTGCTCACTAGTGCTACTCCTGGTACCCATTGAGAGCTGACCTGCTTTAGAGCCAGGTGTGGTGGTGCATGTCTGTAATCCCAGCACCTGGGAGGCTGAGGCCAGAGACATAGCAAGACCCTGTCACCCAAGAAAAGAAAAAAAGTTTACTTGTTCTTGACAAGAGCATGCCCTTCTGGAGAAAGCATCCCATTTTAAAGAAAACAAAATGCTAGTTGGAGCACTAAAAGATCCTAAGATACCTTTTTCTTACCATAAAAGATACTTGTCATAGGGTCAGGTATATAGCTCAGTGGCACCATGCTGCCTGGCAAGCACAGGGTCCTGAGTTCAATCCCCAGTACCGGGGGAAAAAAAAAGATACTTGTCATAATTTTTTGTTTTGTTTTGCTTTTTGGTACTAGGAATAGAACTTAGGACCTTGTGCTTCCAAGGCAGGCAGCAGCACCACTGAGCTAAATCCCTGGCCCAGTTTGGTTTTTTTTGAGACAGGGTCTTGCTATGTAGTTCAGGCTGGCCTTGAACTCACTAGTTTAGCTGGCCTCAAGCTCATGGTGGTCCTCCTGCCTCAGCTGGAATTATAGGCATTTGCCACAACACGCAGCATAATTTTTTTCTCATATTTGTTTGTTTTGTGGCACTGGGGATTGAATCCAGAGCTTTTGCACTAAACTACATCCCTAGTCCACCTGCCAGTCCACCTGCCTATCCGCCCTCCCTCCCACTCTTCCTTCCTTCTTTCCTCCCATGCTTCCTCCCACCTCTTGTTCCCTCTCTCTCTCTCTCTCTCTTTCTTTTTTTATTTTCAGACATGGTCTTGCCAAGCATTTAAGTTACCCAGGCTGGGCTCCAACATACACGCCTCCTGCCTCAGCCTCCCAGAATGCTGGGGTTATAGGAATGTCCCACTATGCCTGGCTCTGTCATAGTTTTAAATGGACACTTGCTGACTGCTCCTTGGTGTTGGTTCTCTAGCTTCTGTTTATTATAGCTCTTCCAGATTGACCAAAGTCAGGGCAGTGAAAATGGAACTGGTGCAAGTCATTCCATTGTCCCTGTGGCTTCCGAAGTGTGTTTGGACCTCCATGGGAACTCTAACAAAGCCAAGGAATTTCATTTCTGGTGGCTGCTTCCAGCTCTTCTGTTTCCTCTAGGATTAAAGGCATCACAGGAAGGTTGAACAGAGCAGAGCAAGAAGAAAAGGGGAAATGGGCCAAGGTGGATGGTCACATTACACAGATTCTTACCAGCTCTCAGCTTGGCCTAACTCCATTTCCAAGCATTTGGTTATATTCTTGTTTTCTTCATCCTTTGAGGGCCACAAGACTACTGATCCCTGTACAGACTTCATTCCCCCAGAGGATGGGCAAGCAGAGGTCTCCCCAGGCTCAGGTTGAAAGTTCTAACTGGCCTAGGAGTGGCTTTTCCTGTCTCTTTAGACTACTTGGCATTCTTGGGGTTTGTTCTTAACTATCCCTTTGTTCCGTACTTTTGCTGCTACACCAGGAGGCAGTTAGGGGCTTCAGGTGGCACAGGTGCAACTCTGAGACTCCAGGTTGGCACGAGTGCTAGCAGAGCCTGTTAATTAGCACAGAACACCCCGATGCTCCATTAGCCAGCCCAGGCATTCAGAACCTTCCCCTCCTGGGGGCCTCTTCCTCCTAATGAGAGCTGGGAGAGGGCCCTCACAAAACACTGCCTCAGAATAATATTCCGCTTTGTCCCCACCAGTAACCAGGGCTGACAGGATCACTCTGTCCATTTCTCTTCTAATTAGCACAATTCCAGCATGGCCTGAGCCAGCAAATGGAGAAAAGTGATCAAAAGCGATTGGACAACCGTACCGAATCACAAACACAAGGAGGTCCATTCTCTGTAATTAGGTGAGACAATTCCTCAGTCTTTTCTTGGCTGGAGTTTGCCACTAAGAGTCTTGCTATTTGGGTCCCAACAACATAAGTTAGGTGTCTCCCTGGGACACTAATAAGCCCCAAATTGTCTTCCGCTTCACACAGCTCTAACCAGGGGACAGATGAGGGGGTAGCAGTGCAGCAAGGGGACAGACAGGGTCTCTAAACAAGCAGCCACTATGAGTCTCTGAGAGGCAGGCACAGGGATGGTTGGCTTGAGAGCAGAAGAGCTCTGGACACAGCCTGACCCTATCCTGAGCTGCAGTCTGAGGCACTTGTCATGATGGTTATGTGCTACTCTTTGCTCTTTGCCTTGCCCTCCTCATTTGTCTCTTTTGGTCTCTTTTCACCCCTGCTCCCACCCGTCTACCTTGGACGCATCACAGGCAGCTGTGACTGTGGCACCGTTCCTGGAACTACATTGAAGTCCAGTGCAGCAGAAGTCTTCCCATCAAGGAGAGCGAAGCACAGGCCACATGGCTTTCCCACCTACCCTGACCTGCACTAATAGCCCCCATCACCTTCGTGTCTCCAGCCCTTGTCTGCTGTCCCCAACCTCTCTCCTGGATGAACCCTGCTTTTTAAAATAGAAAAGTGGCCGCACTCCCTGAGCCTCAGAGGTTGGCCAATTAATGAATAGAAACAGCTCCCAGGATCGCTGTCTGTTGCAGGGATTATTTGGAGCAACACAGTGATAACTTGGTCATAGCCAGGGACACAGAATGTAGGGGAGGGTGGCATGGAAATCTCAATGCAGCCCTAGCTCTAAACAATATTTTCATCTTTATCTTGTGCTGTGCTTTGTCTCAATCTCTACCTGATGCCTTTGAAAGTGACCTGCAATATTAGAAAACACTTGATTATATAGATGCCAATGAGCCCCAAAATTCTAGTAATCAGAGTTGCTTTGTTTTTCCATCTTCCCTGAGACATGGAAAGGTAACAAGATTTAACTTCTTAAATAACTTTTGAGTAATGTCAGATAATTTGTCCATATTTGCTCAGTCTCTTATAGTTTCTTCAGTTATAAACACAACTTAGAAGATAACCTGGCACATAATAGGTGCTTAATAAGAATCTGTTCAAAGAATGGCCTGTGCCTTGCTGTTCAGTATTCATAGCCAGTTATTGGCCTAAAGAAAGTGAGAGCTTGGATTCTGAGAGAGGCAGGGATGAGCTTGTGCAAGACCCTCCTCTCTCAGCCTCCATTTCCTCAGGACCTTTCCCATTTACAGAGGGAGCCCAGTGTCATTATAAGCACAGACTCCAAAGTCAGGTTGCCAGGGTCTGAATCCTGCTCTTGCCACCTACTAGCTAGGTGATGTTGGGTAAATTGTCTAACCTTTCTATGCCTTGCTTGGTTTGCCCATTTATGAAATAGGTACCCTAAAAGCCCCTAACTCATAGCATAGTGATAATTGAATGGGTACTTACAAAGTGCAAGAACAGTGCACAGCATATCTTCCCCTGATACAACTGCTTGATGAGCTGTATAAAGTTGGTGCTATTAAATAGTCTTTATTATACATTACTCACATTTTTAAAATGTACATCCCCCCAAAAGAATAACCCTACCAGGCATGGTGGCACACACCTATAATCCCAGCAGTCAGGAGACTGAGGCAGAAGGATCACCACAAGCTTGAGGCCAGTCTGGGCTACATAGTTCAAGGCCAGCCTGAACTACATCAACCCCCACCCCAAATTGATAACACCTACAGAGAAAATACGGTAACTTTTGGTTACCTAGAATAGTCACTTAAGCAGAGTGCCATTCCTCTACCCCTAAAGGAGGGCTTGCAGTTTACTAACTACTTCTAACCCCATCCTCTTACCTCAAATCTGAGGTAACCCTGTGTCATCTTGGGCACTTAGTAAATACCACGTTGGCTTTGCAGACAGTGGCACTTAAAGACCATTTGTTGCTAATAAGCAAGGGAGGGAAAGATGCTCTTTGTGACATTAGTAGGTTTCTGAGTCAATATTTTGCTTGCCATATTCCTCGAATTGTGCTTCCTGGTCTTTGTGGTCTAATAGTCTAAGCATCCACACTGCACCAGTCACTCACTGCACAAGAACACGCTTCCCTGCTGTGTTCTGGCACCCAACCCCAATCCCTCCAGCCTTCCTCCAGATGCTTTGCTATGGAGTTGCTCAAGTTCTTGCTTCCTTCAAGGAGCCGAGCAGGGTCCACTTGGGCCTCAACTCCCTGCCAGCCTCCTCAGGCTTCACCCTGTC